GAGGGTGTTAGATCAATAATAACTACCTCTACTGGTAATATAGGCATGTCATAACTTTGATCTAGCACCCTCCAATGGTATAATCTGAGCATGTCTGATCGTAACTGATTTTGCAACCCCTAACACTGATGTACGCATGTCATTTCATTGATATAACACCCTCAACTGGTAATATAGGCATGTCTTATTATTTATCTAACACCCTCCATTGGTAATCTAGGCACGTCTGATCATAAAAGATTAAGCAATCCCAAACACTGATTTACGCATGTCATTTCATTGATCTAACACCCTGTAGTGGTATTCTAGGCATGTCTTATTATCGTTGTAACACCTTCTAATGGTAATCTCGGCATGTGGGATCATAATTGATTTAGCAATCCCTAACACTGATCTACGCATGTCATTTCATTGATCTAACACCCTCTACTGGTAATATAGGCATGTCTTATTATTGATGTAACACCCTCTATTGGTAATCTAGGCATGTCTGATCATAACTGATTTAGCAACCCCTATTAAACACTGATGTACGCATGTCATATGTCATTGATATGGTAATCTAGGCATGTCTTATTATTGATCTAACACCCTCCAATGGTAATCTAGGCATGTCTGATCATAATTGAGTTAGCAACCCCAAACACCAATCTACGTATATGCCATGTCATTGATCTAACAACACTCCAATGGTAATCTGGGCATGCATGTCTTATTATTGATCTAACACCCTCCAATGGTAATCTAGGCATGTCTGATCATAATTGAGTTAGCAACCCCAAACACCAATCTACGTATATGCCATGTCATTGATCTAACAACACTCCAATGGTAATCTGGGCATGCATGTCTTATTATTGATCTAACACCCTCCAAAGGTAATCTATACATGTCTGATCGTAACTGATTTAGCAACCCCTAACACTGATCTACGTATGTCATTTCATTGATCTGACAACCCTCCAATGGTAATATAGGCATGTCATACCATTGATCTAACACCCTCCAATGGTAATCTGAGCATGTCTGATCGTAACTGATTTTGCAACGCCTAACACTGATGTACGCATATTATTTCATTGATCTAACACCCTCTACTGGTTATATAGGCATGTTTTATTATTGATCTAACACCCTCTAATGGTAATCTAGGCATGTCTGATCGTAACTGATTTAGCAACCCCTAACACTGATCTACGTATATGTCAGTTCATTGATCTGACTACCCTCCAATGGTAATATAGGCATGTCATACCATTGATCTAACACCCTCCAATGGTAATCTGAATGCAGGACTTTGTAGCCATCAGTTAGTAGGACTAAGGTCCAACCAGTAATCTTTGTAAGTGGTCCTGTTTGCTGTATTTAAGTTGGCTTAGTGATAGCATAGAATAACCAAAACCTTTCTTCTGCTTCGGTATAAACGGGCAAAATTAAAGGTTTTTCGTCCTGGCTGTGCTTCATGTTTTTGCCAACAGCCATGATTCGAGGTCATCTGATGAACTCTTGAATACTTGCTTCTCATCTTCACCTATGAGCTTCCATGCTGCAGAAGCCAACTGGTTTTATTCAATCAACATCAAATCTTTGCACTCATCTAAAGGACATTATAAAAATAAGATTCTAGGTGGAAATGAGAATTTGCGGAAACTTCCCAGGGGTGAAGTTTATGATATCCTCATAATAAAAACAGACAAAAAAGTTGAGATCACCAAGCTCATTCCGACGATTTGACAAATGCAAAATGCCTAATCCCCCACCCCCCATATGGCACAATCTTGACCCATTTATGAGTTATATGAACAATTGCTCAACGTTTATCGAATCTTATTAACAAGGATCCTATATATTTATATACAAGAAAACACGGTTTAGCAAAACAAAAAGCATTGACGTGCATTGTCATGGTGGCGACAAAAAAGCACGGTCAGAGACCTTCATAAAGAAATAAAACATGCAACATGATGTGGTTTAGTGTTAGTTGCACAGGAGCCCTAGCCAGAGTTCTATCATTTTTGAAGATATATTTCCTGAAGCACACAATATCAATGCAGAGTGATTTTCTCTTTGCTCTTACTCTTACTTTATCACTTTGTTATTAGATATGTAGCATAAAAGAGCAGAATACAAACTGATGAATCACCGCATGGTTATATTTCATGGCTGAATATTTGCATTTTATTGCTTCACCAAGACAATGTTAGTAAGCCTCTGAGGGTGAACCACTGAACCAGGTAGAGCTTTTTGCTATCCGGCCAGAATATCCAGTCGGATATGTTTGATATATAAGCTAGGTTTGAGCTTTCAATTCATTTAAGGTAAAACAATGGTTTCAATTGACTATAAAATGGCTCGATTGTTTATACTATTTTGACTCAAACACATGGATATTTACACTTCATTATGTTGTTTAACAATAGTCAATCTTTTTATTCTAACATTTGCATGCTCTCTGTTTCATGACTGAAAGTGTCTGACTGTCTGGCAGCAGACAAAGTAACATATGACCATATGACTCAGTTCCAGCTGGAACTTTCTTCCAGTTCCGGCCAGATCCAGTTCCAGCCGGAACTTAAAAAAATGGTTTCTGGTGCACCCCTACAGGTCTAGCCTAGGAAGGCGCTTGATCGTGTGTGCATGCCTATTAACTCATTAAGCCGCAATGCGTCCCAGTGCACCCTACTTTTTTTGCTTGTCTAATGCCAATGGGGAAGCTCTGCACTTTAAGGGGTTAACCAAAAAATCTGACAATGTCTCTAGTTATTATGCACCTATCAATGTTAACCCCCAGAGGGGGGGGGTTCGGGCATATGTGGGGTATTTGATTATCAATTCCATCCCCACCCTGGGGATTTTGATTAGCATTTTGGCCCCGAGTTGGGGCAATTTGAACCGAATGACTGTTATTAACATAGTATTTATTGCAATTTATTGCAAGATGGTGGGGCATTTGACCAATATTTATTGCCCGACGGTGGGGGCATTTGATTGAAAATTTGCGCAAAAAATCAAATGCCTCACCTATGCCCGACCCCCCCCTCTGGGGCTTAAAATCGATAGGTGCATTAAACCCATTGAGACATAATGTGCCCCAGTGCCCCTACTTTTTTTACTTGTCTAACGCCAGACAATTTCACTCATCAATGGGGAAACATGCATGTTACAGTAAGTTCAGATTGTCAACTAGGCATGTAATAACAATATACGAAGTAGACTCTCGCTTTACATCTCGATAAGGCAGCGGTTTTTACCATTCAATACTACATTTTGCAAGGTCTTTTTAGTGTAAATTGAATATTTATCGTTCTATAAGTTAAATCCTTCGGGAAAATTTTCAAGAACTAGAAATTAATTGTAAACAACAAAATAGTCCTGAAATAATACTTTTCGGAGAAAGGACGCGGGCGGCAGACCAGAAACTAAAGAATAACTTGTAGTGGCCTAATCTCGATAAGGCAGCGGTTTTTACCATTCAATACTACATTTTGCAAGGTCTTTTTAGTGTAAATTGAATATTTATCGTTCTATAAGTTAAATTCTTCGCGAAAATTTTCAAGGACTAGAAATTAATTGTAAACAACAAAATGGTCCTGAAATAATACTTTACGGAGAAAGGACGCGGGCGGCGGACCAGAAACTAAAGATTAACTTGTAGTGGCCTTAAGTAGGTGCATAGAAAATAGTGCCTTGAATGCACAGTAGCTGTACTATTGATCAAGTATCTTAGTTTTCATCCAAGCAAGGCCTGATACTAGTTTATATTACTATATTTTTGTATGTCATCTAGTGTCTTTAATAGGAAATAGTCAACATTAACATCACTATGATATGTATATTTACCTTTATAACTTGAGTCGTTTTTAAGCCAGTTTCTGCTACAGGGCTTTCGATCATTTCGCGATAATTTAGACCAACACCGACCATCCACGGCCGTAAAACCTTTCCAAAATATTTCTCTGGTTGTCGCTTATTCTAGTTCTCTTTCCTATCTCCATTTCATTGCACAGAATCGCAAATAGACTAGAAAATCTGCTAGAAATGTTTTCAAATATGGCAGCTCAAAGCTCGAGAAGAACGTGTGATAGAAAGACGATGTGATTGGTTTATATATAATGATATGCGAAAGCGTCAGCGTCAGGTAGCGCAGGTGATAGTCTGGCACGGGTAATACCGAATATTCTCAATTGAGAACATATGGGTAATACCCGTTGAGGTGTATGCTAAACGGGTGTTTTGTTAGCGAAAGTCAAAATTACAAGGTAAATTTACAATGTTTATAATTATAAAAGCAGTCAGGAATACTTGTGTTTTGACTATGTGAAGAGCTGCAAATTTTATTTGCAGATAGCCAGGAGGAATTTGACACGTAAATAAAAAATATACGACTAAAGCAGCCACAGATTTATAATTTTTCCCTGAATATTTCTGTTTTTGTTAGATAAAAAGAGACATAAATATGAGATGAAGCGAACTAAAAACGTTCTTGTTTTTGTAATTTTATTGAATTTTATTGTTTTCATATTTCTTGTCTTTGATTAAATGACGAAATACCTCGTATTTTTCTTGAAATACTATCCAAAATGTGTTAGTATTCTATATAAAAAGTACTGTAGAGTAGTTTTACTAACCATGAGAACATTTTTTACAATTGTTTTTTTTTGCAAACTGTTTCGGACTTTGCCCTCGCGTGACCTTTTCTTCCATTTTTTACAAACATACAATGCCATATAATAAAAAACTTACTGACCTCAACCGTTCGGGCAGTACGGGAAAATATCCAACCTCGGTCTTGCTGTATTGACCTCGTTATCGCTCGGTCAATACAGCAAGACCTCGGTTGGATATTTTCCCGTACTGCCCTCACTCTCGGTCAGTAAGTTATTAGTATTATCGTGCGTGTTTTCCACAAACTATTTCAGTTAATTATCGATATCGACATCAAAATTTGTATGATCTCGCTAGTACTATCATTCATTGATATTTATTTATGCAAGAGTAACCTGATGAATAATACTCCAGCAGTTACAAGTATATAATTCCCGAAGCTCAGCCTATGGAATCAAAGGGCTTGGGCATGTGGATCAGTAATATTAAACACATATTAAATAGACAATAAATGAATATATTTCCATCACATCCAAAGCACATGTAATTTGCCGCTTGACGTGCACGCCACTTCCGCTGAGAGTGTTTAAAACCGCTTTAAATTGTGCGAAAAATGGACGTGCAACTTGTACAAGAAAATGGTGATCACACCAGGAAACCTTTAGCAATTCTGTTACATGTTCAAGAAGAAACGTATTTGGCCAATGTCCGCAATATAATTGCTGAGGAGGTGTCAGACATCATGCCACCCGGTAAATATCACTTTTGTTTTGGAGGAACAATTGTGAGCAAAGTCATGGAGAAAGAGCTTAGACTTAAGCAAATTCTCGAAAAAAGTGATGACGCGTCATTGCACGTTGCTGTTCTATCAATAGATTTACTTGATAATGAAGAAGGCAGCCAAGGCGAAGTTGGTTTGAAACACGAAGGAACACAAAGCCCATCTTTTGTGTCGTCTGTCTTTGAGACTGGATACGTACATGATTATGAGTCATTCCAACCAACAAACTCCAAATCAGTGGCCACTTTTGATATAAATAGCGACACAATTAGCCAAGCCGAGAACCTACAGGAGTCGTCAATGCAAGCGACATGCTTGCCAAGCGTATCTTTGTTGCCTGAAACCCAAAAGAATTTCAAGAAAGTACTTCAGCTCAGGTCACCTACAACAACTGAAATACGCAGTTTAAAAATTCACACTGACATTGAAATAAAACGAGGAAAAGGTCAAGATCAAGTATACAAAATATTTTGGAATGAGAGGGTAAGAAAAACGGCCAAAAACAGAAATATCCCTAACAAAGAAATCTATAGGCGTACTAATGAAGAGTGGAGACTTCATCGTTCGAAGCTTCTGGTAAACCATGCAGGCAAGGAAGACCTGGTCAAGGACCTGGTGACACCCAACAACATGCAAAAAAAAACAGAAGATGGACCGAAACCGGCAAAGAAGATGAAGGCTGCAACAGTGCCGTCCAACATTTCTCGCGTGAAAATCGCTTCAGCCAAGATAGAAAACTTGCAAGCGGAAGTAAATTTGAAGCCGGACCGAAGTTCTGAAAAAAACAGTCCATAGTGCAGCTAGCGAAGAGCACAGGACGACGAATTGCGAAGAGCACAGGACGCACTTAGAAAAAATTTGAAAAAGCTGGAACTATCAAAATGTATGACAGACAAGGAAACGGAAAAAGGAACTTAGATAGCTTTCTAGATTTTAAACTGTTTATAAAGAAACTTTGTTCCCGTCTCTGACAGTCTGACGTTGTCGTTGTGTTCATTTGTTATACAGCCGCTACGTTAAGAAATTAACGACTCACCAAATTGGTTGCATAACGTTAACAATTAACAATTATTAAACATGCAATGCATAATTGTTATTTTCATGTGAAAATATATAATATATAGCTTTATTGTTTTACATAACTTGTAAATAACTATTAAAACAAAGAAATTTTGTTTTAAAAAAACAATAATTAAAAGTTATTTTGTTAGTTATGTATAGCAATAATGTCATATGTTGGTTATTGACTTATTGTGTCATGTTGTTGATATCATTGCGGCGTCGGAGGGTCTAAACTGCAGGTTGCAGGATAATGCAGGTTGCAGGTCGGTGCAAGTTGGTCTAAACTGCAGGTTGCAGGTCAATGCAGGTTAATGCAGGTTAATGCAGGTCAGTGCAGGCCGGGTAATGGTTCATGTACTTTAGCCTGTGTTGCCCAGTCGGTTTGACAATAATTGTTTTCCTAATTTCCTTCAATTTCTTTCTGTGTTATTTACTATAATGGAACTCATGTTATTTACACTGTGCTAGATCAATACATATAAATACTGAAAGAAAACAATTAAAGCAAGTCTTTCAGTTCAGTTTTGAACCGAGATTTTCCGAAGTTGGCAGGTCTCTCTTTCTCTTGTCTGTACTACCGCATGTAATGTACACTATATTGGATCGATATGACAATGAAAGAGAGACTTGGAGCAAGTCTGATGATAGACTATGTCTAGTAAAGGTCTCCGAAACAAACTTTTATGAAACAAGCATAGGCGTACGGGACGGGGGGCAGGCGAGCAGCTGCCGGGCACAATCCGAAAAAGTCGGGCAAATTTCTTTCCGCCCCCCTAATTTTTTCCTTCCGGTACGCCCATGGAAACAAGTTTCATTCGTATCATAAAAAATCTTAAACCTTTTGTTTTATTTTGAATGGGAAGATTTTTCACTTTTTGAGCATGAATCTCCTTGGAGTCCACATTCTTGCAGTCTTTCCACCTAAAAAAATGTTTCAGAAACTTTGTTTAGGAAACTTTCCCTAGTGTATCAAGGCCTTAAGTTATATTCAAAGTTTAAAAAATTGCGGCCTGTTTGTAGATTACTTTATTAACGTCGGTTATCGTCGATACCGGGATGCTATTTTCTTACTTTGAACGTGATTTTTTGGCCCCATGTAATGTTAAGCCAGTTGTCAAACCGACTGGGCAACACAGGCTAAAGTACATGAACCATTACCCGGCATGCATTAACCTGCACTGACCTGCATTAACCTGCACTGACCTGCATTGACCTGCGACCTGCAGTTTAGACCCTCCGTTACGGCGCTAGCTATCTTGCTCATTCTTTGACTCTCATTGAGATTGGGGATCCCCTCACTGTATTTTGAAAGTCATTTAAAACACCTTCCCGTGGATTTTCAAACAATTTTTTTCACCCTCTCCCCTGGACTTCCAAGAGATTTTATCGACCCCTCCCCTGGATTTCCAAGCGATTTTATCGACCCCCTCCCTGGATTTCCAAGTGACTTTATCGATCCCCTCCCGGCCTGGATTTCCAAGCAATTTTGTCGACCCCTCCCCTGGATTTCCAAGCAATTTTATCGACCCCTCCCGGCCTGGATTTCCAAGCAATTTTGTCGACCCCTCCCCTGGATTTCCAAGCAATTTTATCGACCCCTCCCCTCCCCTGGATTTCCAAGCGATTTTATCGACCCCCTCCCTGGATTTTCCAGTGTCCTCAACCCCCCCTGTGCGGATAATAAATGCAATCTGCCATTTCGAGTGGCTGGTCTCCTGAGGAGACCTTTAATTAAAATACCGTTTTCGAGGAAAAATCCTTTATATTATCAACGCAGTGATCATGCATTTGGACATAAAATCTTTCCCAAATGTACCGCTCGTTAGGCAAGCCTTTCAATTTCATTTATATAGTACAGCAATTTCCTTCTTTGCATTCTCATGTCCGCCATGTTTGTTACAAATTCTGCCAGGCGCTTCGCTTCCCAAGTCCTCCCCAACACCCCCGCGCGCACGCTCAGCCACTGATCTATATAAAAAACTGTAGTGTTGCTGTTTTTTAGTACGTTATTTGCGCCTGGGTACGAGGCTGGGAACAAACCATAAAAACAAGAAACTGAAATATAAGTTACACTACAGCTTAAAGAGTTCTTTCATTTAAGAAAATAATAAATTTCATGTCATATGCACTTTAATTTATCCATACCTTACATATGGTAATTCAGCTTGGGGTAATACACACCCTTCGAAAATTGAAAAGCTTTTCAGAATTCAAAAAAAGATTATTCGGTTAATGAAATTTAAATCATACACAGTCACAGAACATACAAAACCGCTATTTAATGATTTGAAAATATTAAATATTTTCAAAATTAACGATTACCTTACCAGCTTATTTATGTACCGTTGCAACTGTACTAATGATTTACCCGACATTTTTAATGGATACTTTATAAAAAATTCAAACATTCATGAACATTGAACGCGAAATTCAAAAAATTGCATAAAGTTTATACAAGAACAAACTATAGAAAACAATCTGTTGTTAGTAAAGGTATTGACATTTGGAATAATTTAAGTACTGAGTTAAAAAATATTGGATCTTATAAGGTTTTCAAAAAAATGTGAAAACATACTTTATATCACACCAATCAGCTAATTAATCATCCTATTTTAATGTATAAAGTTTAAAAAATCTGAAAAACCTTGTAAATAGACTAACTTTCGTTTAAACACTCTCACGATTGTATATATTTTCGCTATTATATTATGTACTATTTTTATGACATCATGAAATTATAGTAAGTATAAAAAAAGTTTTGTTATAACTAGGGGTCTTAAAATAAAAGCCCAAAAGATCTCTAGCTACGTATAGATTATAAAAATGTAAACAGTTAAATTTTATTGTACTTTGGAAAATTGGGCGAAATAATTTAATAATAATAATAAAACGTCTGCAATACGACGACCTAAAAATGTACTACACTATAGTTTGATGTCAATCCGAAGACGAAGTACAGAATACTATTTGTTTGCTATTGCTTTTAGTTTCCATTTCTAGCTTTATTTTGTTCGATACTCGATAGTCTTATATAATATTAAAATGAACAAGACGCCTGCTCAGGCGTTCACACTGGTCTGAAAATAACGAGATACGTGCTATGGTGCAAAAGGCAGGAATACAAATCTTAAACCGCAAGCAAATTTTATGGACTTTTGATGCACGTGCAAATCATGCCGACCTACAGAATCAATTTCTGGTTTTTCCTAACAGCGCGTTGTTTTCATGTGCGTTCCATGGGCCGCGCTAAAAATATAAATATTCTGTAAATACCAAAATAAAAGATGAAAATCTCAAGACACAAGCTTGAAAATAACACTATAAATAGTGTTTTCGATTCTGGTTCCAATAACATTATCACGAAAAAGATATGCCCAAAGGGGCCGAAGTTATGTTCGGAAAAATGTATGGCTAGTTTACATTGTTTGCTGTATTATGAAATATGATACCATACTTGTATTAAAATTCGCGTCGAACTAATGTTATTGTAAATGAGTACTATGACTTGCCACAAGTCGACCTCGAACGAAATGCGTTTCTTCGAGGTCGACTTGTGGCAAGTCTAGCAAATGAGAACCATACAAATGATACAATAATGGTTCTAGTTCTTGTTGGTATTTTGAACGCACGCTTTATCTTTAGTATAGCTACCACCATATCTATGGCTACCACAAAGCTTTTCGCGCGGATTATATTTCGTGGAGTACTATATGTGGGGTATTTGATCATCAATTGCAACCCCACCCTCGGGATTTTGATTAGCATTTTGGCCCGAGTTGGGGCATTTTGAACCGAATGACTTTTATTAATATAGTATTTATTGCAATTTATTGCAAAATGGTGG